TTCCCCAGCTGGCGGAAGGAGGCAGGGTATGAATGGGATGGACCATCCGGTCCGGACTTGGCCGGTGCGGGAGTTCGTCTTTGGCAGCGAGTGACCGAAGGGCGACAGGGTGGTTCCCTGTCGCACAAGGCAGCTTTGCCGCCAAGGCTCCCCTTGGCCTGTCGGACGACGACCACTTCAACCAAGCCATGTCCATCAGTCGGCATCCACTCCCGATGGAACAAGAGACGGTTTTGGATGAGGACTTGGAGTTCGCGGCCCTGTGTACCCACTTCCGCGGCAAGTTGCGTGAGTTGCGTCAGGAAGCCATTTCGGTCCTGCACGAGTTGCAGAGCAGATGGAAGCCGGTGGGTCGTCAGCTCCGATCGTTCCAGAGTGAGGCCGTCCAGAAGGTTACCGTGAAGCGTGATTTGGGTTTTGCTGCCTTGCTCATCGTCCTTCAGTCTTGGGCTGACACCTCCTACCCCTTTGGACTTGTGCGCGGATTGCCAGCGGTTGGCTTTGCGCCGCATTATGGTGTGTTCCCACAGCAACCTGCGTGCATGATCTCGCAGCAGGATGTCCTGGATGGCTGGTTGGGGCACAACCATGCCATATTGCAAACTCTGCGTGCAGGCAAGGATGATGAGGTGCTGTTGGAGCAGTCCGAAGCGGATGCGGCGGCTGGGTTTTGCACCCCGCCTCTCACGCAGCAGCAGTTGCAAGCAGTCCTTCAACAGCGACCGTATCGGTTAATTCCACGTTGCATCATCGTGCAGTCATGCTGGCGGACAATCTGAGCGCTCCCAAGACTCCAACAAACTCGTCCTCTACACGCCGCTGAGGCCAGCGGCTCATGTTGCAGCAGTCATGACAGCTGCACAGGTTGCAGAGTCTCGAGGTGACGGTTGGGAGTCGGGTGGAGAAGACTGGCCCAATGCCCACAGGCGCTCGCCCATGGGGGACGAGTCCCTCGGGTGCGTGGTGGCATTCTTCCATAGCAGTGGGGCTTCCCCGCATTTCAGGTTGCCGCTTGCAGTTACATCCTTCAATCGGTTTTCGCGACTGGTGGAGAGCCTAGCCCGGCGGCTGGTGTACGTGCTTTGCACCATGTACTTTGATGATGCCAACATCATAGACTGGCGGAGCAGCAAGGGCAGTGGCCAGTGGGCCCTCAATGAGCTCAACAAGCTCCTTGGAACCCTTTGCGGCCGAGAAGCACCAGCCTATGGTACCGGATGGGACTTTTCTGGGCCTCGACCACTATTTGGGTACAGTGCACACCGAAGGAGTAGTTCGGTTCTGGGCTCGAGAGCGTTTGCAGGAGAAGCTGATGGGCTACATCCGGGCGTGCCGGGACAACGACCGCTTGCCTCCGGGACAGGCGTCCAAGCTCTATGGCCTGGCCAACTTCTTCGAGTTGGGAGTGTTCGGCCGGGTCGGGTGCTCCGGGCTGAATGCCATCAAGGACCGCCAGGCCGAGAAGGAGACTCGGCTTACTCCTGCAATCCGCGGTTCGCAGCAAACCCATGCGGGAGGTCGAGGTGACCTGGCGCGAGGTGCCGCGCTTCTTTGCCGTTCGGACGCGGCCTTGGAGGCCCCGATGTGCGGGACCGGCGGATTCCTGATTGTGTGGGTTGACACACATGCCCAAGGTCGGGAGGGCTTTGTGGCGTGTCTCCCGCCGACTTGTGGAGCCCGGGCGACCACAAGATAGCCCAGCTAGAGATGCTGATGGTCCAGTGTGCTCTGGTCGAAAGGGCGCAGCGCTTCCGGTACATCGATAATGTGGCAGCCCTGATGGCCCTAGTGCGTGGGCGTTCTGACAGCCCTGACCTGGATTTGATGGTCCGGCAGATCCACATCATGCTCTTCGCCCTTGGCTCTTGGTTTTACTGGGAGTGGGTCCCCACGAAGAGCAACTGGGCGGATGCCATCAGCCGGTTGGGCCGGGCGGATCCATGGCGCAGAGCGAATGGTTTTTCGACGGCAGACGCCTTTTTCCCGTTTGAGTTGTGGCAGTTACCACTGCCCGCCTTGGTACTCGTTATGCAGTTTCTGTAAAGTGCTTTGGGGTAGTGCGTTGGGAGATTCCTGGACAGGGTAGGGTGTCCACATAGGGTCTCTGACCATGATGCCAAAAGCATCTGTCTGTCAGGAGGAGAGGCCTGACAGACGTCCCAAAGCAAATCCCTATGGTAGGGTTTGGGGCTGCATTGCATCGGGCTGGCGAAGGAAAAAGGAGGCGTGCTCCGTTCTAAGTGACATACACAGGAATGTGTGAATGCATTGAGTTTGGTAGGCTTGGGTATGCATTTATCATTCCTTGATGTCTTGCCATTTTGGGATTCAAGTGGCCTTGATCCAAAAGTGGCTATTTTTGAGTCCCACCCACCCACCCTGCGGAGGGACCCGACGTTCGGGTAATCTCTCCGTTTGAAGGCCCACGACTTTTTCGGGCTGGGGTGTGCGCAGGGCGCGCTGATGTTTTTGGCACGGTCGGGAGGGAGATTCCTGGACAGGGTGTCCACATAGGGTCTCTGACCATGATGCCAAAAGCATCTGTCTGTCAGGAGGAGAGGCCTGACAGACGTCCCAAAGCAAATCACTATGGTAGGGTTTGGAACTGCATTGCATCGGGCTGGCGAAGGAAAAAGGAGGCGTGCTCCGTTCTAAGTGACATACACAGGAATGTATATACATATATATTTCTTCTTCTTCTTCTTTTTATTGTTCCGCGCATCATTGTGTGGGGTTCTTGTTTTTACTGTCTTCGCCAGTGTCTCGCGCGTTGTCTCCGTGTGCTCCGCATCCTTGATAGCACTCCTCCTCCACCGCCTCCGCCTCCTCAACTGACACTCACTTACTTTGTCATAGTTAGTCTCACACACTCAACTTACACTCACTGACTTTGCAACCCTAACTGAAAAAAGGCGTGCCTTGTTTTGACTTCCGCTGTTGGGGGAAAGGTAGGGCGCCGATCTTTTGCATACAGTGTGTTGAGGCCAAAGATAAACTCTTACGGTAGGGCGGTCCCTGTATTAAACTCCCCCGGTTTTGTAATATAAAGCACTGCGCCTGCCACGCGAAACAGCATCGGAGCGCAGAGAGTACTGCGCCAGCCACGCGAAAAAGCATCAGAGTGCAGAAAGTATTGCGCCTGCCACGCAAGAAGACCGCCGCCCCACGGCGAAAAGTACTACGCCTGCCACGCGAAACAGCATCGGAGTGCGAAAGAAGACCGCCGCCCCACGGCGGCCAACCTTCGCCAGGTAATATAAGTACTGCGCCTGCCATGCGAAACAGCATCGGAGTGCAGAAAGTTCTGCGCCTGCCGCGAACTGTCACACACTCAACTTACACTGATTGACTTTGTCATACTTACTCTCGGACACTCAACTTACGCTCACTGACTTTGCCACACTAACTTTGTCATACTAACTCTCACACACTTGACTTACACTCACTGACTTTGCCACACTAACTCTCACACACTCAACTAACACTCGCTGACTTTGTCAGTTGAGTGTGTGACAGTTAGTTGGCAAAGTCAGTGAGCGCTAGTTGAGTGTGTGAGAGTAAGTACCAGTAGAGCCGGCAGAGCCGGTGGGCGCAAGCCCCCAAGCGAGAAAAGTGCCCATAGGAAGAGCTTTCTTTTTCTCTCTTTCTTTCTTTCTTTCTTTCTTTCTTTCTTTCTTTCTTTCTTTCCTTCTTTCCTTCTTTCCTTCTTTCCTTCTTTCCTTCTTTCCTTCTTTCCTTCTTTCCTTCTTTCCTTCTTTCCTTCTTTCCTTCTTTCCTTCCTTCCTTCCTTCCTTCCTTCCTTCCTTCCTTCCTTTTCTTTCTCCTCTTCCCGAAGAGTGTATCTTTGGCCTCCACACGCTGTGCAAAAAAAACAATCCCAAATTAACAGAAGGACCTGCCAAAGGTTGGCCGCCGTGGGCCGCCGTGGGGCGGCGGTCTTTTTGCGTGGCAGGCGCAGGCGCAATACTGTCTGCGCTCCGATGCTGTTTCGCGTGCCACGTGCAGTACTCTATAATACCTTGCGAAGGTTGGCTGCAGTGGGCCGCCGTGGGGCGGCGGTTTTCTTGCGTGGCAGGCGCAATACTTTCTGCACTTCGATGCTGTTTCGCGTGGCAGGCGCAGTGCTCTCTGCACTCCGATGCTGTTTCGCGTGGCAAGCGCAGTGCTTTTTTTCTCACCTTGAAAAAGTTGTCCGTGGGCCGCCGTGGCGCGGCGGTCTTCTTGCGTGGCAGGCGCAATACTTTCTGCACTCCGGTGCTGTTTCGCGTGGCAGGCGCAGGCCGCTTGCGCAGTGCTCTTTGCACTCCGATGCTGTTTCGCGTGGCAGGCGCAGTGCTTTATATTACCTTGCGAAGGTCGGCCGCCGTGGGCGGCCGTGGGGCGGCGGTCTTCTTGCGTGGCAGGCGCAATACTTTCTGCGCTCCGTAATTGAACAAATAGACGGGCTGGCCCGCGACAAAGCAAAAAGCCTGCAGGGGAAAAAAGCGGCATAGCGCCATCTGCGCGACGGAAAAAATGGGTATCCTTTAATTATCATTACTCTTTTTCATTGTTAACATTGTAATGAATATTAGTCTTAACATTCATATACATAAATAATGACCATTATCATTATTGTTGTTAAATATAAATACACATGAACCATTCTTTGCCTCTTTGCCTAAAGAGTTTCATCATCCACATTGGGTTCTTGGGATTAAAGTGGTCGAAGCCTGGTAGCTTGAGGGTGGCCCCCGACGGTGTGCAGGCCCGAATGCCGCGCTTTTCAGGAAGCAAGCTGGAGAGCGCCAAAGCGTCGCGGGGAAAAACCGCACAGGAGCCGAGCATGTGTGTGTGTGTGTGTGTGTGCGTGTGTGTTTGAGGATGCCCCTATTGCCTTGCATTAAAGGGACACCGAAGGGCAAAACGCCTTCTTCTTTTTCCGGCCTCCACGTGACAGGTGTCTGGAAGTCGGGGAGCGGTAGGTCAAGGTCTTCCCGTGGGCATTTGCCCGCACTGAGGTCGAACTCTTCTCCTTCCTTAGCGACAAGGACCTCTTCGCGGAGATCTACAGGACTATTGATCACACATATGAGGCATCTGAAAGCTTGACAAGGATCGTTTTCCTGCAATTCTCTAGCATGCAAAGAGGATTTGGTGAAAGGGGCAGTTCCACAGCGTGCTGCACAAGAAGCCAAGGGTGTGTGGAGTCAGTACAGGCAAGATGGTGCTGGTAATTAGAGTTTGGTTTTGGTTGTTGAGAGCTGTGCCAAGATTTCACGCCGGAACAACCAACCGTTTTTGAGCCAAGACCAGTACATTCTGTCGAGTGAGAAAGCCGAAGGGGTGATATTCGCACAATTTTTCTTGCAAAGGGCGCTTCGCAGAAAACGGCAGATTTTGCAGCCTAGCGCAAAATGTTTGCACCCTTTATCGAGCGCAGTCTAGATCCCGGCTATCATTTTCGCAATGGCATTGGCATTGGCATTGTCAAAAACAGCGAATCATGCACAATTTCTATCAAGGTCTGGGGTTGAGGCTCGCTTGTTCCCAGCTTGGACACAGTAATTAAATTCCCAGGAATCAGCTTTCCAAGAGGCTGCTGTACGAGACCTCAGCCTCAGAAGATGCTGAGAAGAGCAGCTCGGTGGAAAGAGGCTCCCTCAGCGGTTCCTCTACGACGGTTCTTGGCTCGGGGTTCCATGTTGACATGTAATGTAAATCGGATCAACAGGCCGAGTCGTAGCAGGAGAATGCTATCATCGAATCTGTGAACACAAATATGCTTTGGGTTGCACAGGGATTACCCGCAGGACTTACCACAGCCTTTTACAGTATGCCAGCTTGTGTGCCAGTGAGGCTTGCTTGAAGAGACCGGAATCGTGATAATCATAATCATAATCATGAGCCCGGTATGATGGCGGTGGCAATAGCAATCATGATTATCATAGCTATGCTGAAAGATTCAGCTATGCAGGTGAATGTCATGCTGCACTAGAACAACTTGCCTGCAGACTGCTTTGGCTCGAAACGGTCCACATATGTTTGCGCCTCACTGTTTGTCGGTTAAGAACGTCACCGGAAGGTGTGACTTCACGTGAGAGGTCTCCATTTCTTGCATGCCACTCAGCCAGAATTTCTCGACCGGCAACGCAGCCATCTGGCCAATTCGCCAATTTTCGGATCATGGCGCTGCGTGTTCTCGGCACGCGTCCTCTGACTTCCCTGCGCCTGCCCGCTGGGGTAGCTCCCGCGCCCAAGGCGGGGGATCACGGCGTGTTTTCACGGAATTTAGGTGCACAGGCTTCCCTCCAAAATGGGACTCCCCGATTTGCGCGAAGCCGGAGTGTAAGAATCCTGGGTCAAAAACTGCACCAGAGATGAGCCCGTGAGTTAATGATCAAGACTGGGTCCATTTGACTCAGTATGTTGGAAGGTTCTCACAACTACCTGGGATGCTGTTGCGATATATGTGAAGCACCTAAAGGGTAATATGGCAGGAGGCCGCAGAGGAATTCAGGATGACTGGTCCGTCCAGGGTGAGTCGAGGAAAGCGGCGTCGCGTCACACCCGTCTGGATGCAGTGTGTGGTTCAGGAATTTGATTTCCTCATACTTCAGCAACATAACACGCATGCCTAAACCGGACCGGAGTCAAACCTCAAACAACGATGCCTTCAAGTGTCCCTCACCAACCCCACAAACCCTAAACGCCTCAACCCTCAAACCCTGTCTCAACCCACAAGAACGGTAAACTTCTAAACCCGCTTCTGACGTCGAAAACCCTCCCAGACTGCTAATTCTAAACTTCCTGAACCCGTTGTGAGCACAGCGCCCACTGGCATTCAAACCTACATATTTATGTACAACAAGTGGTATCGGTAGCCAATCAGGTTGCTTGGGCAGGGCAATGAGTATCGCGGGCGTCCAAATTAGAATCGGTTCCCCCAACGACCGGCTATGGTACATCACTCGTTTCCACCTTCTCAGAAGTAAGGAGCATTTGGGGTACAACCCTGGCTTCAACTTGATTGAAAAGCATAGTTGACCACATTTTGATGAACTGACCCCCCTCCCTCCCCTCCCCCCCCCCGTGTTGTGTTAATGCTTAGAATCCCCGTCACCGATCCCAAGGCTCGCAGCTTCGGCACGCGCGCCGCCAGCGCCGCCAGCGCGGCCTTCGGCGCCGGGGCCTTGGCCGCCCGGCCAAGCGCCCGGCGCCGGCTGGCGCGGCACGCGGCCTCGACGCCGCTGGAGGCGGGGCCGCCGCTGCGTGAAAGTCTGAAGAAAACCCTGGCCCACGCAACATGTAAATCTCCAGGCTCGGAAAGCATGCTCGCCACTGAAACCAGTGGTTAATCTTGTCAAGTGTTACATAGGATTTCAAGCAAACATACGACCCAAAGAAGGCCTGAACAGGCAACCAGGGGGAGGGGGCCTATGAGCTGTGGATTGTTGATTTGGAGTTCATGGATCTTGCAGCGTTGGTCAGCAACTCTTCACTTGGGAGTATCCTAGAATCTCGGATCCCCCAACACAGGCCCGCTTTCCAGTCGGCTTCCCTTTCAATCGGCCCAAAGCAGCCTGCCCTCAATTCTCCTTTTGGTTGGGGTTCGAAGGACACCAAGACAACGCCAAGTTTAGACACACTCATGTGCGTTTCTGAAAACGTCGGGCTATGAGGTGCAGGGCATTCGGGAGATTTCTCCAGAGGCACCTTTCCCCAGGTCATCCGCTTCAGAGACACTGCTGTGCCGGAGGCGCGTCAGACTCTGGCGTCACAAGCTGAGAGATGGCTGGACCCCAAATCCGAGTTCGCGGAGGTGCAACGCGCTACGACGGTCCCCTACTACGGCATTGTTTCTGGTTCGTGAATTATTCGGCTGAATGGCTTTGCAAGGGAGCAGAGGAGCGAGCTGCCACTGGCATTGATTTTTTTGGGAGACGTGTAGCTCGAAGCACAACCAATGGCTTGACAGCTGGGGGGCTCTGGGTTGAGGGGTGAATGGCTGACAGTAACAACAATCTGGGCAACTGCACACGCTTTAGGAGACAGTTGCATGCTGGCAGCGGAGATGCATTCTTGAAGTTTGATGCGACCTTGGAGCGCAAAGTTGGCCCAGAAGGTGGCTTCAGGTTAGCCATGTGAGAGGGCCGTCAAATGGTCTTGCCCTCGCAGGTGAAGTTTGGTTTTCCCGGCGTCGACGAGGTCCAGGTGATCCTTTTGAAGGGCCAGGGCGATGACATGGAGCCGATCTTCCCCAAGGAGGAGCTTCTTGATAACGACGTGAAGGAGGCTATTGGCGACGCTTGGTAAGAGATGTGCGCGCTTCTTCTTGGTGCCCTTTTGGGGTTTTAAAGGGACACCTAAAGGAGAGCTAATATTTCGGGGGTCCAGATCCCTATTTTGACACATACCCATTTGCCGCAGAGACTCGAGGCCAATAGATGTCCAGTACTTATTTGGCGCCGGCCGCTTTTCTAGTCGTGCCTGCTACGACAACACATACACAAACACACAGTCATCATCCGCAATTACTGGCCAGGCCCAAGGTGAAAACAATGATCTTGGTTGATGCCATATGCATGGTCAGCTGTCAATGTTCTTCATGGTTGTTATTCTCCTTGCCAAGTGACTCTGTCAACGGCTTGGACTCTGGTCATACTGTTGGCAGCCAGCAAGACATTTCCGCCGCTTAAAAATAGAATATGGAGGTTGATGGTTCCGTTTTGGAAACATTAAATTGGGGGATTGCACCCAAGAACCTGCTTGAGTGTGCTTGGGCCCCTGAAAATGACACACGGCTGGGATTTTCAGCATTGGAACCTCAAAAGTGCTCGGGCAACAAAAAGCACAGGGTCCGAGACCATGTTGAGAGAGCTTCCTTGAGGTGAGTTCAGTTCTCAGGAATTCATCAAGGCGGAGAAGTTCGAAGCCAAGGCGAGTCCCGCTTTCGAAACGGGGTGGTGGCGAGATTTTCCAACAATTAACTGCAGATCCGGGGTTGCCCCAAAAACAAGGGCCCCCTAAAAGAAGATTCCATCTTGGTATGCTTTCTTTTGTGTCAGTTCATGTTGGTTTCATTTTTCTGGTAGTCTTCATCTTCTATTTTCCTTTTTGGTGCTCCTTCGCGTTTGACCCTGAGGCGGGCAACGTGGCCAGCTTCCCGTTCGTCTCTGATATCAGGGTGCGGATGGTGCTGGTGGGTTTGGGCGACAAGGACACTGGGCGGGCCTTCGGGTCATATTGACCCTACCAAAATGTGTGCGACTTCATTTGACCCCTGGGTTGTCCTTTTGAATCCAAAGGTACATTGACATACGGGGCAAATGATGTGGGTTTGTCTCTTTCGAGGGTCCCGTTTCTTGGTTGGTTGGAACACCGGCGCCATTTGCGGGGTTCAAATCCCTATTCTGACACATGGGCGCCAAAACCAGCGTCTCCTTCAAAGGAACTCCAAAGGAGGAGGTGTAACTAATGGTGGTTTAAGCAGATTCAGCACACCCCCCGGTTTACACGACCCTGTTGGCTTAGGTTCTCTGGAGGTGTGAACCAGGCTTCTCGCAGACGCCAGAGGATCTTTGGCCAATTCAAGCCCAAAGAAAAGCCTGTACCCACCCTATGTGGAGGCAAGAAGCATCATTCCTCTGAAAGAGGGGTTGAGAACTTCTACTGCAAAAGAAACATGCAGTACATGAGTACCCCTACGCTTTCATGGAGACTGCTGTGCTGAGGCTTTGCTCGGTGTTTTTTTTTCTGGTGGCCTGTCCGTTAGGACGTGGACTCCCGCTTCGCCGGGGCCACGGCCGCGCGAGCTCTGCAGGCGCTGAAAGGCCGGTTCCCAGGATTCGCTCTTTCCTCGGAAAGCAAAAAGCTCCCAAAGCCGAGGCAAGTTTGAGCATTGTAGAACCAGCTGTAACCTTTCTGCAAGGAATGGGCCTCTGTTACACGAGATCCAGCGAAAGGCACATCACAGTGCACCTCCGCCTGCCAGGGGTTCAATCGGCGGGCGTGGTGGCGGAGGGGCTGGAGGCGGCGAGTTTTGTGGAGGGCCTTCTGCTGGGCTTCCACAACGACCAGCGCTTCCAGGGCACCAAAACCCCAGAGCCGCTTCGCTTTCGGTTTGGTGGGGTGTGTGGATGGGTTGGGGTTTGGGGGGGGGGGGTGGTGGCTGGGATCGCTTATTTGTGTCCTTTGCGTTCACTGGAGATGGACTAGAATCAGACATATGTTTGGTTGGGGGGCGAAGCTAGGGTAGACGGTTTGCTTTGGGGGAGTGGGGAAATGATGGACACTTCGAGATTGTTTGACGCTCCTTTTTTGCTATTCCCCACCATAAATGGGACAAACCTCGCAAGGCAGGAAGCCACTTGGTGACTTATTTTCTTGAGACGATTTGAGATGAACCTTTCGGTTCGCCCCCCATGGCACATGTCCCAGTTTGCTGAGCCGTGATCTATCAGACCCACTGAATTCATACCGTCACATAACCTCCTGGGTTTTCAGTTCAACAAAGCGCGCCAAGGAACTTGCTCTAATTGTCCCATGCCCTTTTGGGGGAACCTTCATACTTTGACCATGGCACACACGGGCGTTTTTTTTTGGGTTTAAAGAAGCCAAGTTGACCAGGAAACCCAAA